ACTGTATCATGGAAGGCTTTCCTTCATTTCATGAGGCCATCCTCAGGTCTTATGTGGGTTGCTTATATATATATGAAAATATTGGCTTTTTGGAATAGAACTTCCATTTTGCCTTGTTATTGTTAGGGGAGAATAGGATTTGAAGTAAAGAAGCACTTTTTTTAGCTGACCTACTTTAAGTTAGCTCTTGCACTGTGTTGGAAATTGTGCTGGAAACACTTTTTTTACTAGGCAATAAACATGGCTTTAAGCCATCTACCAGAAATGACTACAAATTACTTTGTTTTTTTCACTCCTGTGATCAATTTTGTAGTCATTCTCATCTTAAAGGCTGCTATTACTAGATGGCATGCTATTAGCAATATCATAAATCACTTCTCATGTTGGGGAAAAAAAATCCTACCACAGCTGAAGGTCAGTTTTATTTTGTTAATGGGATTCCAAACATGTGATTGATTCCTGAAACATAAAGAAAATAGACAAATTGGAAGTTGCACCATAAGGTTATAAATTCTTGCAAGGAAATAAAAAATTACCAACTAATTTCTTTAAACATAATTCACTTTAATATATTGTTAGGGCTGGACTAATGATAAGGTGGCTCAATTTATACAAGGTGAATATTTTGATTCTTTTTTTGAAAATGTAACTTTAAAAATGATACAAGAATTTTAGTGAATATTTAATTATTGTTAGAGATTACCATTTTCCAGAAATGGATATGAGCCATTTTTTTAATTTGTTATATTTGTAATCTCCTTATTTCCAGGAGTTTTTAGCAGGAAATCCAGCACTTTCACCCTATGCCACTTATTTTCATTTAAATGGAACGTAGTCCATTTTTTCATAGTTCTGAATACTTGATGGTATATGTGCAACTTTTCTGAATTTAATGTAGGAATAAGAAATGAACATAGACATTTTGTAGGTTCTGCAGTGATACTATGGTGAACTTGAACTATGTGGCTTTTCAGGGGGTTCTGACCTTTTCAACGTGATCCAGAAAATCTTTTTTTCCTCTGTATATCTGGACTGAATTAAGGAAGAATTAACTGTAAAATTGTGCAACATAGTGAAAATCTCTTGCCACAACATGCAAATTTCCATCCATGTGACTATCAGCTTATTAATGACACATGGAATTGGTGTATAGGTAGTCCTTGACTTACAACTGCAATGGACCCTGCCCATCATGGTTGAAGCTTGTGATGGCCATAAATCAGGTCACCCACCAACCTTATTTTACAATCATTTTTGCAGCAGTGAATACCATGGTTGTTAAATCAATGTTGCTCTATGGCTGCAATTTTGACAAAAACTGGAAGTATATGCTGGTTTTCAGTAACATCATAAAATATGGTTATGTGACTGTGAGACGCTAAAAATGGCTTAGTTGCTGAGCACCCAAAGTGCAGTCATACGGCCATATTAGCTGGCCACATGAGAACTTTGAATCCAGGACATAAGTACCCCAAGAAGGTCCATTGTAACTTTAAATGATTGCTAAGTGACAGATCATAAATCATAAGATTACCTGTATGCTGCATCAAAAGAAAATCTGAGCAATACACAAGCCATCATGCCAGCTATGTATTGGTATCTTATCATATTTCATATAGTCTCAGAGTTTCCATGTTTAAAAAAGAGTTGTGACCACATAACAGTTTCTCCATATGAAGCTAGTTCTCTCTGTGTTACATTAACTGATTGTCCTGTGAATGTCAGCAATATTCTTCTTCCTTGTAGTTGGAATAACTTGAAAAATCTTTCTGTAAAGCTATCTTTTGCTTTTTTGGAAGCCTCCTGTTTAATAGCTTTTCATGGAGAAACCAAATTCCTACCTTTTAATAATAATAATAATAATAATAATAATAACAACAACAATAATAATATTAATAATGATAAAGTTGGAAGGGACCTTGGAGGTCATCTAGTCCAACCACCTGCTCAGCAGAAAACCCTATACCATTTCAGACAAATGGCTGTCCAGTCTCTTCTTAAAAACTTCCAGTGTTGGAGCATTCACAACTTCTGAAGTCACGTTGTTCCACTGGTTAATTGTTCTAACTGTCAGGAAGTTTCTCCTTAGTTCTAGGTTGCTTCTCTCCTTGATTAGTTTCCATCCTTTGCTTCTTGTCCTGCCTTCAGGCGCTTTGGAAAATATCTTGACTCCCTCTTCTTTGTGGCAGCCCCTGTCAGCCAGCCACAAATCCATCTGATGGTGATGCTGTCTAACCCATATTTTTCTATCTTATCAAGTAGTAGGTTGTGATCTACTTTATCAAATGCTTTACTGAAGTCCAAGTAAATTATATCCACAGCATTCCTCTGGTCCACTAATTTTGACACTTGGTCAAAGAATGCAATAAGATTTGTCTGGCATGATCTGTTTTTGACAAACCCTTTTAGTAATGACTTTGTTTGCCTCTAGGTGTTCGCTGATTCATTGTTTATCTTTTCTAGAATCTTCCCAGATATTAAGGTCAGGCTGATAGGTCTTTAGTTTCTATTTTTTTCCTTTTTTGAAGATGGGAACTACATCAGCTCTTTTCCAGTCCTCTGGTGGTTCCCCAGAAGGATTTTAAATTAACATGTATTACTTTCTTTTTGAATTGCCTTTCATTGCTGTGGCTGTATACCTGTGTTAAAAGAGAAAAGTCACCTTGCACAAAACAAATGTCTAGGTGCATACTGCATATAACACTTTTCAGAAGCTTATATAACAAAGTCAACACAAAGGGCTGTGTATCTCTAGACAATAACATGTTGTCTAGGAAACAGAATAATCCTATATTTTTTCCAAAGCTGCATTTTGAAAATGTGTTTCTTTTCATCTAAAGGATTAAATCTGCAAATTACAGCAGTGCAGTATTATTTCCCAAATGTCTATAAATTTTACAAAATTGCTGTCACCTTGTTTTACACTAGTCTGTTGATGCTCAATAAAACATACCAGTCGTCTCTGTAAACAGTTTATTGAAACAAGGCCATACACAAAAGACCAGACTTTGGCTTTCACTAATTATTCAAACCGCTGGCCATAGAGTGCTAAGAATCACACAGAAGCAGGAGACTTCTCCCACAAAGTTGCTATACTTCTCATCTATCTGATCTTTTCATAATCTTCAATCAAAGGTCAAACCAGCCTTTTCCTATTAGGAAGAGAGGACCTAATGTTAGTTTTGAATTCATACAAAACTAGCTTTCAAATCATACAAACCTGAAGTTACAAAAATGCTGACAGATTTTTTTTTTTACAGTTTAGATACATGTTTCTTAATTTTTTTCTATCAAACACAAAATTAATAATAGCAGCTACATTCACACTATACTTGATCTTAGTCTAAGGCACAGGTGTCAAACTCGCCATGTCATGTGACGTATCGCGACATATCGTGACTTTTTTCATTGCCGGCAATGCGGTAGATGTGGCTTCAGTATGATGAAACTGGCCCACGGGCCGGCAGTTTAACACCACTGGTCTAAAGGCTGAGAAGTGATAATGGCAGCTGACAGACCATTGTGGATAATCACTTCAATGACAATTACAGAAAAATGGTAAATATGTAAAAAGTTCTCAGTTCAGAGTAAGGATAATAAGATTCAATTGTGAACTGAACTGTGCATCCTAAGGATACCATACAGAAATGCTCATGACATTAAATTCTTAAAAAAAACATTTTCATCTAATAAAAACATTCATTTTAATATAAAAAGTACCATTAATATTATTAATAAAAACATTCATTTTAATATAAAAAGTACCATTAATTTTCATGACATTAAAATACATCATCAAGGTTGGATGGCATAATCAAGGATATTAAGGTAAGATAACCTTTATTATTGTAGGGATTGTGAAAATGAATTGTGTGTGGTCTTGAGGCTGCAAGTTGCATACCCTTCTTATGGAAGAACAGATTTTAACACATCTTTTCTGTTTAAAAAAAAATGAATTATCATTTAGCCCACACCAACAATATTTTTGTTTTCATGCTTTGCAAAATCTGTCTTGGCAACATTAATAATCTCTAGTATCTCAATGGGAAGCCATTGGGAATTTACAAGCTTTTTGTCAACATTTGCTTCAGCAAGCAATCATTTCAGGGGCTTAAATTTTCGGCCATTTGCACAATAGTCTTAATGTGACAACCTCTCTTTTCACTATCAGGGAAATTCTTGGAGTCTGTGCTTTTTTTCCCTCAAGTGCTACATTATACTTATTTTATACTTATTTATTTCATACTTTCTTTTGTAAAATATGTATGTATTAAAAATGTAAAGAATTATATAACATTTATACATAGTATGCATACATACAAAAATATGAAACCACAGCAAATAAAACACATTGAACAGCAGAGAAATAACCACTTGTTATATTAAGAATTCCATCAGATCCAGAACTTTCAGTTAGTAGATGACTACACTCCCTTTCGGAAAAAAAGTGACTTTCAAATAACATAATATTTCTCCTTTGGGAGAAAAAAAACCAAGCTGAAACCCAATAAATACATCTTTTTATATAAACTTGTTGCAGACAATTTGTGTTTATTAGTTTGGATTAGTAAAATAGCTAGCAAATTCACTGCTTTTCTCCCAGGTAAAGAATTAACAACACAGCTCTATGTAATTAACTTCAAAATCGGTTCAATGGGATTTATTCTAATTTGTGCATGATATGATTTCAGCCTGAATTTGCCTGCCTGGATTCCCCCACCACAGAGACAATAACAATCTTAATTGTACAGGTGTTGCAAATCATGTATTCCTTTCTTTTCCCCTCGAATAACGGAAAGCAAAGTTTATCCTTTGACTGCACAAGCTCAAGCCATGAACAGAAATCAGAGAAACACGAGCTGAAGCCTTGGGCTAGCAGCTCTTTTGCTGAGCATGCGCAAAAGAATCGATTCAAGCGCCCAGACTGCCCCTCGCTGGTTTCGTTTCGTTTCGTTTCGTTTTTGTAAGCGTCGGCGGAACCAAAATTCTGGAGCCAGCAGAACAAGTCGGATCAATTAGGGACAAGGATTAGTGGCGCCCCAACCGAGGAGAGTGTTTCCTGGGTTTCACTCGTCGGCCGTTTTAGTTCGCTCGTCCTTTTGTTTTCTCCTCGGCCATGCAGCCTTACATGGTAAACATCAAACTTTCGGCTCGGACCCTCACTGGAGCACTTAATCCTCAGAATAGAGGGGCGGCAGACTGGTAAGTAGAAAAAAATAGGGGACGTCGGGGGGACAGCAATTTTAGGGTATGCATGTGGACGGGCTGTGAGCCGCTCTGGAATAGAAGACCATGCTTTGGAGAGTTAAGAGGCAGATTATGAGTTGTTATTATCATCATAGAAGTCCTATAAAGCTTAGTGGGATGTACTTGCAAGGCTCTCCCTGTACCTGTAATATAGTGGAGACATGAGGTGTTGAAAAAAAATGTGACCAAGAGGTTGAGTATTATGGTTACTGTATGAGGGCGACTTTTTTTATGCTAAAAGGAAGGAAACCACCTGAATGATTTCATAAGCCTGGTTGAAGGTTTCATGTGAGACGTGTGCTTAAACAACACAGCACAAAGGTCTGCGCTATGATATGGAGAGACTGGGAAACACCATAGACGTGTACATTAATCCTGTAGAAGTTGGAGTGAAAAGAGAAGTGTGGAATGGCAGCTGAGAGATCAAAATCTAAGGGAGGATAATATTGCCTCTCACCAAAGTTTTGTTATTTTCAGTATTATAAATAATTATTTTCTGGTAGAATTTTTTTTTGGGGGGAGACTATGTGAAGATTTCATTTTATTTTGGCATCATGTTTATATCACTGTCTAATAATGAAGGCCATGAGATGGGCTTAAATTCTTGATGAAAACTAGTGTAATGAAAATAATAATAATAATAATAATAATAATAATAATAATAATAATAATAATAATAATAATAATAATAATAATAATAATAATAATAATAATAATAATAATAATAATAATAATAATAATAATAATAATAATAATAATTGCAAAACACATCAAGAAACTGCAGCTTCCTGCAATAACTCCAGCAATGTTACAAAAAACTGCGCTACTTGGAACATCTTATATTTTAAGGAGATACCTGATTGACACCTATGATGCTGGTAGACCCGTGTGAACCATCAGTGCCAGCCAATTTGAATGTTCAGTTGACTGAGGTTCATGTTTAATGAATAAAAGTATAATAATAATAATAATAATAATAATAATAATAATAATAATAATAATAATATAAAATGATGATGATACATGGCATTTGATAATGATAATGCATGGTATTTACTTATTTATTTCCAATATTGTATATTATCCCAAATCCAGACTTTGAGTATTGCATATTAACAAAGGATAAGAACAAAAGAAAAAACTAAACATCTCAATTCAAAACAATTATATTGTTATCATATAGGACCATTTTTAATATTGATGAACAGCTTTATTTACATATGCACATATGTATATTTTATAGTCATTTTTTAGTTCATTTCATGTATAAGCCTTCATTTGCTCCAGAATTTAAGATACCTTAAAAATAAACATGACTTTATAAGAACAACTGTACCTTTAAGTTTGTAAGTCCTGAAATTAAAAGTGAAAGAGGGAAGGAGATTTTTGGACAGAATATTGCAGGAACTGGTTTGGGGTCTCTAAAATACTTGGGATTATGTTTGATGAGACCAGTTATGAAATTTGACAAAAATGATAACCTTTGGTTAAAGTACATAGTAAGATGGTGGAAAAGGAAAAGATTCCGTTCAATTACCATGAAGCAAATGGCATAAGAAGAATGTTGATAAATAAGAACTATGGCTAATATTCTTTTCCAGTTATTTTATCAGGATATTTTCTGAGACTGGAAAAAAATGTAAGTTGAAACACATTAAGAGTTATCCAAGAACTAAATACAATACAGTACAATATTCTTTATTGTAAGTGTGATTGGATACACAAGAAATTTATTTCTGGTGCATAATAAGAAATAAGTACATTTTTCTTTGTCTTTTCTATCATTTTAGCAACATAAATTTCTATGAAGATCCAGCAAAATAATTTTTTGTACATTTAATATTATAATTACTATTTATGTAGGGGCTGGCAAGGACTGATTGCATATGGATGCCATTCCCTCATTCTGGTGATTGACTCCAAAACAGCTCAGACTTTACAGGTTTTGGAAAAGCACAAGGCTACTGTAGTCAAGGTATATTGAAAAGAATCATTAGAATGCTTGTTGTTATAAGCATTCTTCATAAAAATGATTTGTGATGTTTTAACCACACTTGCCTTTTACTCTTTAACAAGTGACCTTTAATAAATTGTATTTTGCAATCTGACTTCTTTAGATGAGTATTCTTGATTCTAGTCAGCTATTCCATTTAGACAGGATACTTTATTTCCACTCTTTAGATTTATGTTTTCCAACAGATAAACATTACGCAGTTTTACAATATACCTAATCCTTTGTGGACTATTTGACAAAGAGAAAAAAATATATAAAAATTTGTTAAAAATTTCAGTTTCAGCAGGCATAGATCTTCTGAATTGAGGGACTGATATAGATCAGATTTGTGGCTAGTTGATATTTTAAGAAAGCAATATTTTTTATTTTAAATTTATTTTATTTTTCAATATATTATATTTTCTGCATTATAAATTTATAAATGCCATAAATCAGTCTATTTCAATTTCTAAAGAACTTCACTATCTGAGATCCAAAAACTATTTAATGCTTTTAAATGCTTTAAATGACTACTAGCTTCACTTACCTGTCTTAAGGTTAAATGGGCTAAGGAAAACTACCATCACAATATTGGATCACCTTATGCTTTACGTTTGGCTACTGCTGATGCCAGTGGAAAGATAATTGTTTGGGATGTAGCTACAGGAACTGCTCGCTGTGAAATCCAAGAGCATACAAAACCAATTCAAGGTAAGAAAATTTCCATATCGCATCATGTTCTAGTAATAAATAATTGTACTAGTTAGAAAAATATAATATAACATATAATATATATAATATAATACTAGTTGATTTTTAAACTCTCATTTTCATCAAAAATGTTACATATGCAGATTCTTTCTAGTGTAGGAGATATAGTTGGTATGAGGCCTCTATTTTTAATGTTTAATTTTTGTTCTTGAAGCTTTTTTAAAAAATTAAGACCACTCACGTATCATACTTTTTGTGATTTTATTTCATATTGTAAAAGGTTTCTAAAACTTTATATAAAATATAGTGGAAAGATAATTATCCTCAAGTTGCAATCTTGAACACTCTTATCTGAAAGTAATACCTGCTGAAATAAACAGGATTAACTTCTGAAATTATACTTGTATAATTTATAATTTTGAAATTATTAAACCTATTGAAAATGTATGTAGACAAAATGCTATTTTCTAAGAAGAAATTATGCTTGCATAATAAGTAGATTATGATCAAGGTTATGAATGAATTTTAAACCTATCACCTCTACACTTAATCTTTCTCTCCTTCTAATATTACTATTAGCTGTGTTCTCATAACCAGTTATGGTCTTAAATAATTCAAATTCTGGACAATGTATTTTGCAATCTGACTTCTTTAGATGCGTATTCTTGATTATAGTCAGCTATTCCATTTAGACAGGATACTTTATTTCCACTCTTTCGGGTGCGCTTCAAGGTGTTGGTCATCATCTTCAAAGCGCTCCATGGCATCGGACCTGGATATCTCCGAGACCGCCTTCTGCCGCAGGTTACCTCCCTAGCCGGCCATGCGAGGGTGTCTCACCCAGAGGAGTCCCACGGCAGTCGGTCTGTCACGGCCGACCGCTGGGGGTCCCCCTCCCGGAAGAGCCACCCTCGGGCCACCCTCTGGAACGAACTACCCCCAGAGATCTGGGTGATCCCGGATCTCCCCTCCTTCCGCCGCGCCCTAAAGACATGGCTTTTTCAACAAGCGGGATTGGCCTAGGGAATTTTAGTGGGGTTTTTAAGGGTAATTTTAAGGGTAATTTTAACGATTAGGCCTTTACAAATATTTTCTTTTAATTCTGGTTTTAATATTGATATTTGTTGTAATGTTGTTTTATAAGGCTGTTAGCCGCCCTGAGTCCGGTGAGGAGAAGGGCGGGATACAAATCAAATTATAAATAAATAAAAAATAAAAATGAGTAAGCTATCTAGGATTTATTGCCTTTAGAATAAATAGTAAATAAGTTAAATGACCCTTCACTTTAAGGAAAAAGACATAAAATTGTGAGGAGGCTGCTTAGATAATTTCAGTCTTGAAAGAATGGGAACTGAGATCCAGTCATTTGTAAATTGTAAAAAAAAAGAGTCATTGTTTAGTACTTAAGGTGCTGGACTAGGAATAATGAGATTCATCTTTTAATCTACCATCAGACCCGGAAGCTCATTAGTTAATCCCCCCCGTGTCAAATGTACCTTATATGGCTATAATTTTTGGTGGAAAATTGAGAGATGAAATACTATATATGCCATTGACTGATGAATAAAGGGTGGAATATAAATTAAAATGCATGCATGCTTACAATTATGGTAATCTCTTCATTTAATGATGATTTCATATGCTGGCTTGCCTCTTGATTGGGCTATTCTAAAAAGACATGATGTAATTGATACATTTAAAATATTACTTCATTTTTTATTATATTTGTTATTCCCAAATGCAGATTCAGCCACTTCATTATTGAATTAATAAGATTAATTATTGTAAACAGTCATTAGATGGAACTCTAGGTTAGCAACAGAACATATGGAAAATAGCTGCATTTTTGTATCTAACACTTCTCATAAAGATGCCAAAGCATCACTGTCTAGCATCCAAGAGAAGTTATGGAATGTCTTCTAAGCTAAATCTTTCTTCTACACTCAGGAATAGAATCAAGATATTTATTTTCAGCCATTACTAGTAATAATCATGACTTTAGATGTTTTTATCAACTGATTAACAATTACTCAGTTTATATGTTTTTAGGTAAAAGATGATATATTGGAATTCTCTTTTAAAGCAGAGGTCGATAGCAACTTGAATAATAATAAATAATTGGATTGTACCTTTTTTCTTTAAAAGTACATTTTCCATGTTAATGCCCTCTAAT